GTCCCCGTAAGGTGACCGCCGACACCAGAAAGTTCATGCGGGAAAATCTTCTTCTCATAGTTACCCTCTCCGGTGTTCTCTTCGGCGTAATACTCGGTAAGTACGAAGAAATATCAAAATCGATCGAACATTCGGTTTACTCATCTACGACGTCGAACATCCTTACGATAATATTAATTTTATACGTTGACCTGATTCATCGCGTACGTCGGGGCGACTTCTTTTCTCTCTCGAGTCAATGAATCATCGATATGTCAACTAAATGTCAATCGGTTACACATCGAGCTTGAAACTTGAGAAAACATGGTTTCCTTATAGTATCTACTCAATGAGGTTGCAAAATTTCCATCAACTTTTTATTTATAGTAAATACGATGAAAGTTGTAAGGACGAGTTCCGAGCTACATCACGTACTCCAGATAATGACAGGGCCATGCCAAAAGCTCCTTACGCTTTCGTCCATTACGGGAAAGCGTGCCAAGGTCGAGTTCATCCGATACGAGCCGATCTTACTTTTTCTGCCGATCGATAGCAGTCGTAGATAGAAGCCCATCTCTGTTCCTTCATTTCTTCCATCCTTTTCTATCTCCCTCTTCCCTATTAGAATTTTACGCAAACGAAATGCGAGTTTTCTGTTTCGTCACGTGTGCGAACGCCATACACGTGTTAATAAATGATTATGCGCGCTACTTAACGATCGGGTCTTCGTAATCGTTGAAACTATATCTGTCAATGATGTTCCCTCGCGAGTCGAATTGCTTGCTGTAAATTAACATTGACAACGAGAAGGGATATAGACTGGATATATCCCGCGCGCCATTAACCGAGACGATCCACGTTAAAATTTTGTTACATAAAACGCTAACGTGTTATCCTGTTAAAAGGTGACAATCATCGACGAAAGGTTTCCGTTAAAAGTCTCATCTATTTAACTAACTTATCACCTAGAAACAGGAAGGACAACCTTGAACACGAACGTACTAACCTTTCTTTAGAATTACGTTGAAAACGACTCTCTTGAAAATGACTCGATGACCGTCGACGTATTTTCATTTACGCTTCGATTTAATTGCTACAGTGTACATCTGTGGCGATGTTAGCGAATTCGAATTTGGAAATACTCTTTTCTAATCATTCGCAATTACATTAAATGGCACGCCCAATTTCTCGCGTATCCTTTTACATTCGCATTATTACTCGTCGATAAAGCAATTCCTTCTACAACTCGCTCGCGTTTATAGACAATCGACAGTCAGTTACTGGCACTAAAACATAGAGATATAAAAATATGTATCGCTGTGTAAGTGTATGCGTTATAGGAATAGAAAGAGATCTCTGCATAGAGATGTCTTCCGTCCTTACCTAATCAGGCATGCACACTGATGCTGCTCGTTGATCGGTGTTACACTTACATATTTAATATACGAATCTGCATGCATTATTAGACAAGGACACAAGTAGCCTCTTTTGCAGCGTTCTCTTGCTATTCCCATGTCGCCTTCTCAGCTCGCTTACACACTTTATTTTTATATCTCTACGCATTAAAATATTATTATTTTTAAAAAATTATTATCACAAAGATCATATCTAGTAAATTTAAAGCGATGTTATCATCCGTACATGGTCTCGTGTATTATACAGATATAACTTTTTACTGGTAAAATTTCAGAAACTGAACTTGTTTTCATTCTGCTGTGCCACTTCGTCACATTCACCTTGAATAGACTTAAGCCTTCTAGAAGCAGCTGTCATAGCAGTAATCTCGTTATTTTTTCAGGGTTCGGTTTACGACCCTTGAGCCTCGGCGATGACGCAGTTATGCTAATCAGTTATCCTGGAGAGCTCTTCATGAGGTTGTTAAAGTTAATGATCTTACCACTAGTGATTGCCAGTCTCATATCAGGTAACTACATGTAACTCGATGCGTTATGAGAAGAGCTGAGCTAATAAAAACTATATTAAAAACTGATTATGCCGAAGCAACGCTAATCGTGTAACGTCTACAACTTACAGGCTCAGCAAGTTTGAACGCAAGAATGAACGGAATGATCGCCGTCAGAACTTTGGTGTACTTTATACTCACGTCGTTACTGAACGCTGTCCTTGGTGTCGTCCTGGTTCTGCTCATTCATCCGGGTAATCCTGGAATTAGAAAATCGATGGCGACCTCGCACAGCGGGAGAGCCGTTAACATCTTGGACAGCCTTCTCGATTTGGGAAGGTAGATAGTATTCCTATCTTCTTCGTTTATGAAATAGTGTTAGTCGTTAGATATCGATCATACTTGTTATTTTTGTACTTCTGCGTCGACACGTACGCCAACACTGTCCCGGAATTTTCCTACGATAAAAGTAGAGTCCTTTACCTCGTCGCCGGAGCAACGCTTGACTCGTTCCACTGTACTCTCCGATGACAGGGGTATCGCGGTAACTTTCATCGCATGCCTTGCGTGCTATTGGATTATTCTCATTGATTCCATTGCTTGTCCGGTATAATAAAGCCAAACCACGACGACAGCGTTGTCCGGATTAAACACGGTTATCAACAATCGACTCATCGATTCGCGGAGTAAAAACCCTTTCTCCATTTTGGCTATTTACACATTCTGATAAATTATTGGAACTACATAAGCGTTCCAGCGGGAATTAAGGTCGTGTAATTTCACGACCGGTGAACTTTTCCAACAATTGGGAATGATACCAACCATGACGGGATTAAAAGTATCGATCGCATATACTTTATTTATACGTGCTAAAGAAATCCGTTTAAAGCATAGTTCAAAGCATTTGCGGTGCATGCTATCGGCTAACGAAATTATAGCGCATATCGTCGATAAACGCAGCTATCGATTAACTAGTTATGAAAATTGCGCCGTATTTCGCGTGTTACAGGAATATGTTTCCGGATAATATTTTCCAAGCAGCGTTTCAGCAGGTACGCATTTTCACCATTATTAATCGCATCTATACGTATATTCTATTCATTACACGAAATCTTTCTGGCAGGCTCACACCGTATATGTTCCAAAAACGATGCCCTTTCAAAATCTAACCGACTCGATATCTTCAGACGTTCTCGGGGACGATGAATTGATGAGAGTAACACAATACAGAAGCGGCACGAACACGTTGGGCATAGTATTCTTCTGCCTGGTGTTCGGCACGTTCTTAGGTACTCTCGGCGAGAAAGGCCAAATCGTAATCGACTTTTTCAAAGCTGTGTTCGAGGTTATCATGCGAATGGTGTCGACTGTAATGTGGTACGTATGAAGACGCTTATTCGATGGAAGGATGAGCAGCTTAAACATGAAAATCGTTTCCTCGTAGGATGACACCGGTAGGCATCACCTCGGTAATTGCCGGCAAAATACTCGGTGTCGCCGATCTGGCATTGGTGATGTCGCAGCTCGCCTGGTTCATCGTTACGATCGTGATCGGTGTGTTTTTCTATCAGTTGGTGATCATGCAGCTGATCTATTTGGCCTTCGTGAGAAAGAACCCCTTTAAATTCTACACCGGCCTCGCCCAGGGTACTCTCACCGCATTCGCCATGTCATCAACGTGAGTCGTCGATCTTCGAACTCAGCCCGACCTTCAGAGTACCCATATCGCCTACCTCACATGGCCTCGGTCGTCATCGTCATTTAGTTTTTGATTCTTTTACTCGGTTGATCGCGATTCATTACCATCGGGTCTCTTGCCAACCGAATTCGTCGTGCCTTTTATTTTTATTTTACATCGTGTCGATTACGTTTGTCGATCGTTCGAGGAAACTGCAAGGCGATCAAGACTCGAAATAACAGGTCGACGCATGCGTTTGAATCGATTGATAGAGACAATATGTTTCAGCCAGCCGAGAGGAGGCATTGCGAGGCCTTAGTCCTGTACACCTTCCCAGATTGATACTTTCCCAGCAGCGTTTCACAACGTTAGAACACAGTTACGATTCGCTTCGAAGACGTTGTCGAACGCTATCGAATCCTACTTTCCGTCATTCATTCGATTCCTCTTTGAACCTTTTATGTTTCTTTAATGTTTCCGCGCTGTTCGCGGGGAAACTCCTCATGACCAATAAGAAAGAGAGAGAGAGAGAGAAAGGGAGAGAGGTATGCAGTTCTGGGTGGCACTTAGGATGCAGATACTCCCGGTTAGTAGTAATTATCGACGAACTTTCGGTGATGTTTTAATGTTTAAACGCATCTCTGACCGAAAATGATAAGGATATCACCGAAATAATCGAATGTATTACCGAAATAATCGAATGTATTACCGAAATTTCGATGACATTGATGATATGAAATATGCAACAGAGAGTAGACCAACGAAAAAGGATAAAATCATAAACAAAAACTGTATAAGTGCACGGAAATATCCTGGTTATGTCCGTGTGTATTTAGCCGGAAATCAGCTGACTCCGTGTCACCTGGACTGATTCTTGGCGTGGAAGACTTAAAGGGCTTCCATTATCCGAATCTTCTGTCCCTCGTAAGAGGAAGGATAGAGGAAGACGAGACCGCCAAAACAGGCTTCGTGCCATATATGATATTTATTTAAGTATTTTCCAAGAAAATTTTCTAAGAGGAAAGCTGAAAAAAATATTGGTTGCTCGTGTCGAGCCCGCTCTTCCAGGTTTGCCGGCGCCGTCCATCACTGGCCAGAACACCCGAACTACGATCATTCTCTATTTCTTTAACTGTTCATTATCGCGGATCACGCGAAGCAACGATCATTTTTTCAGTTTGTCCATCAGCATTCGTCAAGTAACCAAAATTCACTTGATCCGACCCCTGTTCTCCTTTCATTTATCCACTTTCCTTCTTCAGACGTTTATTCCCCGCTCGTTCCTTTCGATGCATCGTGGGACAGAGAAGCATTCGTACATCGTGTGTAACGGTTGCAATGATTCTTAACGTGCTTCGAACCTTTTCCGTCCCATCATTGCGGCGCTCAAGATCGTAAACGCCCTGCAACGGCAATATCTAATTCAACTTGTTTTCTATGTGGATTAACTTTTTCCAGAAGAGAGCGTACACAACTGTGCGTACACTGTGCGACTGAGAGAAACAGCTCTTAGTGTATCTGAACAGAGACTGTATGAATATCATGATGATGTATTAGAACACGCGCTGCACGCGGCCTTTTGCAGGTGGTTCAGAGACCGAGGGTGGCCTTGGTAAGTAATCGATGGCCGCAACATGAAGGTACATGCGATTGTCTGTTACAGGAGTTAGCCTGATTTCGAGACACGATGGAAGAATCGTCAGTGTTCCGTTCGACGTCGACATTAACCCTGGTTGATTTTCAGTTCGTCTTACGGTCATTCTGGTTATTAGTCTCTCGAAACCTTTCTGTCCATGCCACTTGTACCACCGAACGCTCTATCAATCGACCTTGACGCGTATCTTTTCATCGAATTTCTTATTCGCTTCGTACAATTCGTGCTTTATCCATTTCATTGCATTATTCGCCGCTCGAAAGCGCACTATGTCGAGGAAGTTGTGTTAGAATTTACGAATTACGATCACACTACGCCAGAATGACCCTTCGTCCATGGACATCAGCTACGCAGCACGGAGAAATGATCTTTCTTTATCACTCGACATCTGCTTTGCCCGATCTTTTCTAACGCAGTTTTGTACAGGGCTGCTGCACTTCCGGTCACTTTTCGCCTGATGACGGATAAGCTTCGAGTCGATCCTAGAGTCACCAGATTCGTTCTGCCGATCGGCTGCAACATTAACATGGACGGGACAGCGCTGTTCGTCGCCGTAGCTAGTATCTTCATCGCGCAGATGCATGGCATGGTTTTGGGCTTCGGCGAAATTATAACGGTTATGTAAGTTTTTCCTTATTTAGTCCGTTGCTTGAACTCGTTACTTACAACGATCCCCATTTACATCAATATGGCATCGTTCTTCTCTAAGTTTAACCTCTACCGCTGCGTCCGTGTCATCGGCGTCAGTTCCAAGCGCCGCCTTGGTTCTCCTTCTGGTTGTCCTAAGCGCCATCGATGCTCCTGTTTACAATGTCTCTCTTTTATTCACCATCGATTGGTTCGTGTAAGTAACACAGCATTTTTCTTTCGATAACAAGCAATAAGTACTAAGTTCACTAACAATTTCTACATCCAGGGATCGCATTCGAACCACGAATAACATGCTGGGAGATTGTTACGCCGCTGCTGTGGTCGAGCAATTGTCGAAGAAGGAGCTGATGGCGTTGGATGCAGCAGCTTATCAAGTACGACCATTGCGAGACCGTGCGAACGCTATTTGGAGTGAAACGAAACAAAATTAACTCGGGATATTTCTTTTAGTCGGAGACCGTTCTGCCAACGACTATCGCAAACGGATGCATTTCTGCCAACAGGGTATCCGATCCTGACACCATCGTCGTCGAAATGCAAGACGATACGAGGATAGCCGGCGTCGCCAAGTAAACAAGCTTGTTGGTAGGGCTAGGCTATCACTTTGTAAGATTGCAACGATCGCGTGCATTTTCGTTACATCCTTTATTCTGCTTTGCTACCGCAAAATCTCATGCAAATCGTTGATATTTACAAATGATTCACGGCAGGCTTTCCTCATGGTACGTACGTCTTTCCATTTTCATATTTTCTTCGATTGCTATCAAATTTTCATCGGCTCACTGTCAATAGAAGCGAAAATCAATGAATCGCGTTAGTCGTATCGATCATCGTCCGAATAACAGTAAGGAGCAAGCATAATTATGTCCGCCCACAATGTGCTTTCATGAATCGTACGCGACCCGACTCTTTTTATAACTCATTCGTAATTATTAAGCGTAACCTTCGCTATGAAAATCGAGCCGCTTTGACCTAGAAGCCGTAGATCATTGTACTCCCATAGCATCTTATAAATAATCAATCAATCGCAAATGTGGCGTGCCGTGGAGTGATTCATGCGAAAAACAGAGTGAACTTTTGCACTGATGTTATTCAAATTATTGCGAAAACAACCTTGAGAGTACACAATGTGGCATAATAAATGCTGCGTGACATTGGGGAAAAGCGAATGTGAAACAGCGAAGAAAATTGCGTGAGTCGAGAATAATTCAGGCTATGCTTTCCCCTTGAGATTTCTACATAACTCTTTGGAAATAACAACCAATCTCGATGGATTTGGACTTGGATTTAAACTTCTCGGAATAAACGAATCAAATTATGAAATATCTATCCATCATCGAACATCGATCATGATTCATCGTCGACAGCTTTGACTGCATTCTTCCATGCGATCGTCATCCTCGATACACGCTAACGTTCCATCGTGCTTGTTAAAGTGCCGCTTCGAATTTGTATCAACACAGGGACATTCTTCAATTTTGTCGTTTCATTTCAGCATCAGCGTATTGCAGATACCAAGGAGCGTGACGGAAGAGACAGTTTGACCTGCGCTAACGTTCCAAAAGTTAGTTTAGCTAGATGCGTACATATAAAATACCATCGAGTGTGATGCGTTCAACTGGGATCAAAAAACAGTACACCGGCTACGCGAATGTTATCCTTTTATCGCATCTGTTTTCTACTCTTACAGAATGTGTTCGAAGGAATTACATGATTGCAACCATAACAGATATCAAACATAAAGTCAATACGAAAGAGTGTGCTACATGATTCGCCAGTCGTTTAGTGCTATGATCGTATAGCAATAACGATAACGAAACCATTTCTAAGCTTTTGTAGTGGCTTCTTCGAGCGAGCTGAAAATCGCCAGATCACCGATTCGATTGCACTCTGGAGTATTAACGATCGCGTGAACAGCGTCGGATGTGGTGCCTTATTTTAACGGCGGCG